TCCTCCGCACAGTTCCAAGGCAGAAAAGAGTGCTTGTGGTCACTTATAGACCAGAGCACAGGACGTGAAAGGAGTAAACACCTGGCCCTTGATCACACCACCTTGGAAGAACTGAAAATTTACAGGTCCCCAGAAGTGTCTTTGAAAACATCTACATAAAACCCCCGAAGCTTGGGACAGCACATTCTCCACACCGGAATCAGACCCCTACCTCAACAAAGAGTTTATAGCTCAAGTAATTTGCTAGGAACATGAGAAAACAGCACAAAAAAAAAGTCAGATCATAAAATCTTTCTTTGGTAACAAAGAAGATCAAAGCATACAACCAGAAGACAACAAAGTCAAAGCTCTTACATCCAAAGTCTCCAAGAAAAATGTGTATCAGTCCCAGGCCATGGAAGAGCTCAAAAAGGATTTTGAGAAGCAGATAAGAGAAACAGAGGAAAAACTAAGAGTGATGCTAAAGGAGACCCAAAAAAAATACTGAAGAAAATAACACCTTAAAAAATAGCCTAACCCAAATGGCAAAAGAGGTGTAAAAAGCCAATGAAGAGAAAAATGTCCTAAAAGCAAAATTGGCCAAATGGAAAAGGAAGTCCAAAAGCTTACTGAAGAAAATATTTCCTTAAAAAATTGAAATGGAGCAATTGGAAGCTAGCAACTATATGAGAAATGAAGGCACTGTAAAACTAATCCAAAAGAATGAAAAAAATAGAAGAGAATGTGGGGCCTACACATTCATCAATATATGTTTTTCCTGATATCCCAAGTTGATAAGATGTTTGCTATTTTATATTATTAGGTATTGCATTGTCAAAATAGTATAATACATATTTATATTATTATATTATTAAATTAAGTAATATTGACTATATATAAATTATCATTATATTATAGTACATATATAACTATGTGTGTGAATATTAATATCATTATAATAAAATATGCATTTAATATAAAATGTGTACTTATATATAATAAATACCATGCTTATTAATATTAATATTATAATATCATGACACAGATTTTTAAAAGCACTAGTGATGGCATTCTGAGAAAATGAGCTTAAGAAATGACCCAGTATTTCTCATGATCATTGATCCCAAGGAATTAACTCCATCCATGGTGTGATGTGGCAATGTGACTTCATCTGACTTAAAGAACCTGAAGAATGCAGAAGGGAGGAAAGTTAATCTTGTGTTTCAAAGCATACATTTAAATTAATCCTTGTCCAACTGAGTTTACTAGAGAGTATTTCAGCATCATATGGAGATATTCAGGGGGTTTTTTTCCTTGAAAACCTTTTAGAGTTTAACAACTTGGTCTTTTCATGACTTTGTTTGGGGGATGCTAGCCTAATTCCAAGAGTGCCAATGGATGGATAGAAGGAGAAAACACCTGTTATTTCTACCACTCATACTACAAATCCAATGGAATAACACCTGTAAGATCTCTGAATCTGACCTTTACTCAACAGCTGTATTTCTTTTTATTTGGTACTGTACCAGTACAGTTGGAAGCTTAATATATGGTTTTAATGGGATAGATAACATTTATTAGGCTTGGATATATGAATGACAAAGAAATAATTGCTATAAAATTAAATAAATACATTAATTGTTTTCACCAAGAATGTCCTGAAAAATTGAAAAAAAAAAAAGTCCTCCTAGCATCCACAGAAAATACTAATATGAATGGTGAGAGGGCAAAGCAACTGAACCACATTAAGTATGAAGTATAAGGCAAGATAGCTTGAACTAAGGAGAAATTTCTAAATAATAGATTTAGACAAACTCCAAATAGTAACATTATCTGTTTCAACTTTACAAGGAATCCCATGACTCTGTGAGAAGAAGAGGCCACAAACCATCCTCTGAGCCAGCATTCTTAACTTTTTTTATGTCATAGATCCCTTTGACATTTTAATTAAGCCTATAGGCTCATCTTAATTTTTTAAAATGACTAAAATAAAATACATATGATTATAAAAGGGAATAAATTATATTGCAGAACAGTTATCACATTTGTAAAAGGTTTACTCCTGTTTAAAACTATATTTTAATATTAAAATTTCTCTATGATTTCATTGATTTAGAAGTTCCTTTAAGCAGTACAAATAACAATTCATTCACATATGTAGGCATTCAATAAGTTCATTTAATAATTATAGATAGGTAACTTAGCACAGAGGTATCAAAAACTGCTGCATTATGATCTGTCAATACGAGCAAATGCTTCAGGAACCATAAAAGACTACAATTGGGAAATAGTTAAAATAAAACTTAAAAATCATAGAGCATAGGTAATGTTAATATGTGCTTTTCTAACTCAATATGCTATTGCAGGGACTCTCACACATGGTTTTGTAGTCCTGTTTCTATCTGACACCACTGGTTTAGAATGACAGGTAGAGAGTCTAAAAGAAAAAGAAAAAAAGACTCTGTGTGTGTGTGTGTGTGTGTGTGTGTGTGTGCCTGTGTGTGTGTTTGTGCATGCACATGTGCACATATGTTTGGGAGGTAAGAGCTTAGGTTCCATCTTTGAGACATAATGGCTTGTGATCACAAATTATTAACTTAAAATCTCAGTGCCCCAGATAAATTCTCATGAATTAAAGTTATGGAACCATTGCCAATAAGTACTGGTCGGAGTTTCTTCATGGTGAATGTTCCAACATCAATGAAATGATGAATGTAAAAAACAAACAAACAAACAATAAACTTTAGTTTTTAAAAAATGAATGTTGATACTTAAAATAGTGATGAACCATGCAATGGATTACAAGTATATGTAATAAACAAGTAGAGTGATTCTACATTTGTGACTTATTTACCCAAACTACCTTTAATAGCCTTTGTTTTTGTCAATTCCAGACCAAAATAAAAGAGAATTTCTTGAGCCAAATCACAGTAAAGTGTTTTATTTTGTCTCATTTAGACACATGGACTTATTTTTGGTAAGCTTTTGTCCTTTATTAGTTTAAAAATAAATTTTGGGGGTGGGAATTACATAGAAAGATAGTGAATGTAGAGAGAAATGAGAACTTTTTGGCCATCAATCCAGCCCCTCACATTTTATAGAGAAGTAAAATGAAGACCCAACATATTAAGGTCATGCAGGAAGTTAGTGTCAGAGGTAGGATTTGAACATATGTCCTCTGACTCCAGAATCAAAGCTCTTCTACCTAACTATGGTGAATCATAAACTGGCCTATCTAAAATTAACCTCCATTTTCATAGGATAACAAACATACACCTTTAGATTAATGAGCAATGAGATTCCAATCTACAGACCCACCCCAATGTCATTTTAAAAAGTCACATTCAGATCAGGAACTTAGTGAAGAAGGAGGAGGAGGAGGAGGAGGAGGAGGAGGAGGAGGAGGAGGAGGAGAGAAGAAGAAGAAGAAGAAGAAGAAGAAGAAGAAGAAGAAGAAGAAAGAAGAAGAAGAAGAAGTTGTTTACATGTCTTTCTAAATTTAATGCTAATTAAAATGTTTCTCTAGGTTGTTCATATTGAAATATGAATTAAAATCTGACATCTCAACTTTACATGTGCATAAACATCATAGTTCCTGATCCTGAAGAAAAAGGCCTAAATCCAGCCATTCTTTCCAGTATTTAAAGCCCTCTTTTTAAAAGTTATCTTTCTATCCTTGTCTGACATCATTGATAATCACAAGCACTTAGCTTTTCTGTCCATAAAATTATGAATTTCAGTAAAATAACCTAAAGAAATATCAGTCTACTTACGAGGTTAGAAACTGTCCCTTATTTCTTTTCTTTTTTTAGTTTTCAACATTCACTTTTTTTTTTTTTTTGCTTTTTGGTGAGGCAATCAGGGTTAAGTGACTTGCCCAGGGTCACACAGCTAATAAGTGACTAGTGTCTGAGGTCACATTTGAACTCAGGTCCTCCTGACTCCAGGGCCAGTGCTCTATCCACTGTGCCACCTAGCTGCCCCTGAAATTGTTCTTTATTTCAAAAGAAGCCACTGCAGCTATGAAGTATACAGCCAGGTGAACAAAAGATTATTTAAATTGTCACATTCTCCACCATTACCTTCCTTTAGAAATCACTAGCAAATTCAGAATTTATCCATGTATTCTATCCAACGTCTTACCTTATAAAGGTAAGACACGGACACACAATTGCTTGTCATAAACAAAAACAATTCATTTGTTTGCTTTATCTTTTAATAGAGAAAATGCTGGCCTAAAAAAAAAAAGAAAAACTAAAGGATTGCTAGTTTTTTTTTAATTTGACAATAGCATCATTGAGTAAAACAGAGTGTGTTGTATTCTACTAATAGACACTTCGTTATAGAGACATTTTACTTTTCAAAGATCCTACTATTTTTAATTATATTTAGAGTTCAAATTTTGCACTGTGTTGATTCAGGCATGACCATGATGATCTCAAGGAAAAAAATGCCTTTGAAGGAAGAATGCATAGAAGAAAGTTCTCCTTCTCCTTCCTCACCTCCACTAACAAACTCCTTTCTGCCACCTGTGATGAAAACAATACCCTAAACCCTACCAAATCCCACACAAGTTAGGTAGATTTTTCTTAAAACATAATGACATTTTATTAGAGATATTACTTACTCAGTGGACTTGGTTGGATTAGGGCTACTGCCATCACTTCCTACTTGTCTGAATCAGGAAGCACCACTTGGAGCTCCAATCTCTGTGGAGGTGTAGCTAGAGGGCCACAATGGGCAATGCAGAGGCAAGAGAACTTTGCTTAGCTTACTCAACTCAAGGTTTCTTCAAAACATACCCTTACAGAATATTCTTCTGTTGTTATAGCTAAATAAATCATCTTTTTAACTGTGGAGTAGAGTAGACCAAGAATGTCTCATTTCATTCCAATATTGAACACAAATTACTATGGGACTGAATTAGGTCTTGCCCCTACCACCAACATAATGTATAGGCTATGTCTTCCAATAGATTATAAGCTTCTTGAGGGAAGGGACTTTCATTTTTGTCTTTCTGTCCCCAGAACCAATCTCAGTACTCATCACACAGAAAGCATTTAACAGTTTTTCTTTGATTGGTTTACAGATTCAAACTTCACAAAGCAAGCAAAGAACATCAAGAAATCATTCTGAATTCTACTCTGCTTCACAAACCTTTTAAGTCATGCATTTAACATGTCTGATGATACATTACATATAATAAATGGATGATGTCAACCCTTCCACCCTTAATCTGAGTAGAAATTTTGGAAAACCTTTATCTTACAATTTAAGAATACTTTAGGCATTTAACAATTCATTATAAATAGACTCCAAAATGTGACTGTTTTAGCTAGCTATTAAAGTGGAATTGTGTAATTCAAATGATTTTAATCCCCCCAAAACAACCTTATACATTTTTCTACTTTAGACTCCACATTGCTTATTGAGGCTTATTGTTATAGTTAATTACAACTGGTAAATGTGCAAAGGTAAATAATAATAATAAAAACCAACCACTTAGAATTCTATATCTTTGTAATTGGAATACTTTAGTTCAATATATTCACTTTACAGGAAAGGAAACGGAGGCCCAGAAAAAATGAAATGTCATGCCCAAGATCATTCAGGTGATTGGTGGCATAACCAATGCTCTTTCCAGCATTCTTTCCACTGAGTTTGTTTAGAAGATAATTCTCTGAAAAATGCCAGATCTTTTTCAGTGCTTCCCTTTCCTCTTCTTTTTTTTTTATTTTCCTATTTTGTTTTGGGAATCCAGATTTAGACAAATATATTAAATGTGTGAAAACAAAAAGAAAATCATTCTTCCCATACAAATCTCTAATAAATCTTGACTGTATTGTGTTAGTACAACAACTTCTTCCTTTTAACCCATATATATACAAGAGGAGTCTTCCATGCTCAACAACCCCCCTTTACAATATGAATGGAATCAGGGCTGATTTCCTATACACATAAGAATCGAATTTCTTCAGGTAAACTTTATGCTTCTTTTGTGCCCACAGAACCATCTGGATACTCATCAGGAGTGTAAATATTCCAACTGGAAGAAAAGAAATACAATGAACATTGCCACTCAGCTTCTATATGTGCTTGAATTCATAATGTTACTAAATTGAAATCATTGTTCATAGACCTTAAAGCATATCTCAAATATTATATAACTTTCCATTTCATCAATTTTCTTAAATGGCCATTTTTAAGTGAAAGAATAAAACTGGAAGAACAATACATTAGCACAGAGTAGCTGAACAAGAAAGCTGTCTCTTGTCTCCTGGATTATATGATAGAAAACTTTTAAATGATGAGTTCTGAGAATTTCTTCTTTAAACTGTGCTTTTAAACAAGGACGCTAGATAGACACACACTTTAGGGCACATATTTGAACAAAATTTAATATAATTCATGTTCTAATATAAATTATTTTAGTTTTTAAAAATAAGTTGGCCTAATAGATTACCTAGACCTTATAACACCCATCTTTACCTTGTGGAATGAGAAGTTATTTAAGTGGTATTTTAATTTTTAATTAATATGTCACACTATTTCTCTTAGAAAAGTGTTCATTCAAAAACTCATTCTTTAACACCATTACACACATACACACATACACACACACACACACACACACACACACACACACACACACACATACACACACACTCCAGGCAAAAAAGGGAGCCTCACACAAAATGCACAACAAATATTTCCAATTTACTTCTTCTGGGATTCATGAAAAGTAAATTGTTATATGTGTTTGAAGCACATTTCCACTAAGCAAAACATATGAGAAGCATCTCCATAAAACACATTCTCTTCCCTAACAGATGGAAAACTATGTTTAAAAACTCGGCAATGTAAGTGGGGAAATCGATATAAAAATGAAAATGAAAATATTATAACCTTTTCTCTTCTAGTTCATACCAAAGATTATTATTAAAACAGTTACAGTTTTAGTTAATATTGACTTGTTCCCAAAAATTACTTTTTGTTATAGTGTATTTGACTTTTTTACTTGTCAAAGAATCTAGCAATCATCTTACCTGGTAAGGTTTGTGTCATAACTGTGAAACTAATCCATGACCCAATCTGTTACATTAAAAAAAAAAGTTAGCAAGCAATGCAAAACTGTACATTAATATTGTATTAAGGACACTTTATATTACAAAATATAAGAGATAATTTTAATTGTTTAGGTGACAACAAAGCTCAAAAATAAGGGGCAACTGGTTGAAAAAACACAGTAATGAAAAATCCTCCCGAAAGACTAAAGGTTTAGTTTGGAAACAGATTGATTAAATAATGGCAATCATGAAAAAAAATGTTGTATCCCTGGGAAACATGATTCGAGTCTTCTCCATAATACATTGTATGATGTTGCATACATTATTTACTAATTATAGATAGTTTTTTTATATATAAGATAATTTATGTAATTTATATAAATTAAAACCTATTTAAGTAAAACCACTTACAACTAATTTATTACCTGATGAAGCCATTAAATCAATAAAACTTGAATATGCATAAGATTTTACAAAGCACTATATTTTTACAAATAGTATTATAAATCTGTCATTGTATATACCTAACTTGACATGTGTATGCATGTGTAGTGCAAATTCAGTTACCAATGAAAGGGGGATTGGATAACCTACCTCATAGGTGTAGTTAGGACAGGAAACCAACATAAATAACCATGTGAAAGGGTTGTAAGTTGGACTTGGGAAACAGGCATTACTTCCTTGAGAGAGGAAGAAAGAAATCAGTCACATTAATATATTTTCTATTCAATTAAAAAAGCATTCATTAAGTTACTACTGTAACATGTGTCACAAAGATGGGTAATGGGGGCACAAAGATAAAAAAAGTATTTTCCCTGCCCCCAATGAGTTTAAATTATTTATTGAAATATCTAACTTGGCCAGGGTATTTTATTAATTTCTAATTGTCTACTTCTGAAATTCTTGTTATATGAGGGATCATATCATATTAGAGACCATCTCATAATGTCTAGTTTCCATTAAGCTTACTACTTAAGGGAAGTAATGCAGTGTTTTGGAAAACTATATCTACTAAAAAAAAGTTTTGGTAGCCTTTACCAAACCAGAAAGTCCTTATGTACAGGCGTAAAAAAGACTTGTATGTGAATCAGTTATGAGAGAGAGAGAGAGAGAGAGAGAGAGAGAGAGAGAGAGAGAGAGAGAGAGAGAGAGAGAGAGAACTGGCATCAAATTGTCAAATTGTTGGCCAAAAGATGGACTTGTTGTTTCGGGCCAGAGCAGGTCATGAAAACCCTCTAATTATACATTGACAGGGGAAGTAAACCCTTAATGATGCAATCACAGATCTCTAGATAGTGAAAAGAGTAGCATTTGCATCTGGTCATTTGTGGAATTAACAAAAATGATAATAGGTTTTTGAACAAGAATATCAATGACAATTTTTATTGTGAGGGCCTACCCATCTAGTTTCTTTAATGTATGTTTTGAAGAAAGAATCAAAGCATTTTCCCAAAATATTCTCATTGATATTTAGAGGGAGTGAGGATTTTTTTGTACCTAGTATTTTGAAATATTACAAATCAAATATTTAAATTGTAGAACTATAACAGATTTCAAAGAAGTATTTAGTTCTTTTTTTACTTTGAGAGAACATTAAGTTGAAACAATACAAACAGATATCCTGAAAGGAGGTTTTCCCTTTGCCTATGGGTATTTCATTATTTAACAAACCTCATAGCATAAGGAAATACTCTTCATTAAATATAACTTCTTCTGGATTTACTTTATGATCATTTTCATCATTTTACCACCTTAGTAGATAGCTGTTGCTCATCTTATTTTGTATATATCTAAAAGGCTTTTATCACACTCAAATATTCTTCTATCTAAACTATACTAAAAAAAAAATACAGTTCTCTTTACTTGATATCACAAAAAAAATATTTTCTCCCCGAAATTTTTTTCTAATTGTCTACATTTTTTAAGTTGCAGAAATACCAGGTACTTTTTAAAAAATAGTAATTAAAATTATAATATTTTATAAAATGAAATCAACTACAGCACAGTAGCAACACTGGGGGAAATGTCATATGTAGAGAAGCATGAAAAATGAGTTATTAAATTATCACTTAGTTTTGTATCTACTGAGTTTACAATAGTTTCTGATATAGTTAACTCCCACATATATCCCCACAGCATTTTTCATCAGAATAATAACAATTTAAAATAGGAAAAAATTGTTATCTATAGCTGTCACAATACTTAATAATGTGTCCCTCAAGTATGGTTAATGATTTCTTCCCTTTTGAAATTTTATCAAAAATAGTTTAGATAATAATTACCATATAATGATTTCTACTTGAATTATTTACTATGACATTTGTAAAGGAAAATATGACTCACAAAATTACCACTTTTTTCCTCAGTTGAATGATTTAATCACACAAACAATATATATATGTATATTTTTTGCTGAGAGTTCTAAGGTCACTATGAAATATTAGTACATTGATGCCAAAATTACAGAAATTGCTGAAATAGGAAAGTAAAAAAAAAATGAACTACAGCAAATATCTTGCTGCACTGCTTCATTTCATGACAAGTACATGTATAATGTAACTACTATTTAGGGTGCCTGCTTGCTGATGACCACAAAGTTTACCAAAAAAAAAAGGTAAAATAAAGATAAATCAAAATAAAGTTAGTACAAAAATTGTACGTTTTGAATGGGATATATATATATATATATATACATATATATATATATATATATATATATAATGTATGTATGTATAGGTATAGATATAATGTATACCTTATACTTTCTGAGAAAAAGATGACAACATTTCAAGATCTATGGGTTACCACAAAATGTATAAATGAAATAATGATGGTTCTGTCACATAGCAAGAACAAGAGATAACCTGCGGGGATCTGCTTTTGGATATAATTAATTATTCATCCAGCTTGTCAAGATTTGGTTATTACAATATCTTTAGGATATCAAGAGATTATGGATAATGCTGAATAAGAAACATGGGCAGGTATGGATGGCTTGTGACCTACATCATTGAAAGGATACAGATATCCACAAGATTACAGATCCATTGGCATCACCAGTTGTTCTGTCAGTGCCATATAATAAAATTAAGAGCGAATTCTGACTACTTGGGCTAGTTCATTATTTCATTTAAGGGATTATTAGCTATGGTGGATGAAATTAATTAATTAAATAAATGAATGATTAATTAATTAGTTAGTTAGTTGAACAACCTACATCTCTACCCAGTGTCTAGAGCTAAAATGATCCTTAGAATTCATTTAATGTACACTGATTGAAGAGAAGATTAATGGCAGTTAGTTCCACTATATATCTCTAATATGGCACCTGCCTCCTGAATTAGAAAGAAATTTTGTTCATGTTGTCACACACAGTAAAGTTGAGATTTGACCATCACGTGAGCCACTGAAATAAAGTGGATAGCTATAGTAAATCACTTCAGTTTAGAATGCTAAGCCATTCAGACTACTTATACACTTGTGCTTGAATAGTCAGAGGTGGGATATTAAACAAATAGGCTTGTTTTGCTCTTCTTTTAAAGAATTTATTACTGAATTACAGGCTTTTTTGGAACTCAAGCAATAATAGACCTTAGGCATAGAAAGAAATGGATGGAGGAGGCAGGAAAGTGATAAACTATGTAATATTTAGCATGAGGTTGAGAACAATGCTTTTTCAAGAGAGATGAGAGCATAGGAAACAACTTAAGACATATTAATAAAATAGTCAATACAATTCATTCACCACAGCAAAAGAGAAAAGAATGAACAAACCTGTGTGATTTGGATGAGCTAATACTACATTGATAAAATGATTCCCAGCTTCACATATCTGAAAACATTTTAAACAATATCAATATGATTTCTTTGTGATCTTCATTAGTTTCATTAAATTAAATTAGTCCATATGTATAAAGGAACTTATAGCTATAATTATACACATTTGAATGACGGAATAAATATATTTTGTGCACCAAAATTAATTTCAAACATTTCAGAGACTTCACAAATATAAAAACAAAATGGCCACACTCCCAGTAACAAACCCTAAACAAATTATTGACAGTTATCAATAATCACTTACAATTTATTTATAAGAACATGAAATATTGGGAAGTGAAAATTGGTTATGCTATATTACCTAACATTCACCATTGTCCATGAAGGCAAAGAAGAGATTGGAATAATCAAACATTCTGGTTTAGTATTCATACCAAACATGTATTGTTACTTTTCAAAGAATTAGAATACACTGAAATATACAAAAGAAAACCCTGTTTTTGTTTTTGTTTTTTTTATCATAATCCAGAAGGGACTTCCAGATCTTGCCATGTTTCAGAAGAAAACTGCTAGGTATTAGAGAGTTTGAATTGAAAAAAATTCCAGATAATCAGTGTTTTTTTTTTCTTAGCATTTCTAAACTTTATTTTATTTTTCCTTGTGGTAGAATGATATGTAGATTCTGCAGTGGCAAAAAATTCAACAACTACTTTTAGTCATCTGGTATACCAGGAATTATTTTTCCTTCTTTACTTCAAGAAAAAGTAATACTAAAATATTCATATAAAGTTCACATTAAAAAATGGCAGTAGACTTTAATTTTTTTTCTCTATTAGAATAAGTTTTTATTATATGGCGTGCTTCACCTAAATCATTTCAGACTAAATTTTAACTCATTCTAGATGCAGGGCAAGCACTTCCTTCTATTATGTCATTTTCATTACCTGCCTGAATTTTTATTCCTGTCTACAAATGGCAGTGATGTAGTATAACAATGTTAGTTAATAGATATATTTCTGTTTTGTTTTTGCCTCTAATTGTTCTATTTTAAATTATATTAAACTTCTAAGTCATCTGTTCTCTGTGTATTTGTAGAAATATGTGCTCCAGTGTTATGGTGAACAAACTGTTATTTGTCATACTTTATCATTTTATTAAATGCCACTTCTGTGAGATAATGGTGTTCTTTGGTTTACTATCTAAAATAAACATATTAGTGGGGGCTATGTCATCAGTAGACAGGGAACCATCAAAAAACTTAATCAGACACTCTATCTCCAGACTCTGGATGTTTTTCCTTGCAGTTCCCTATGTCTGGATTTCTTAACCTCCTCATTACTTTCCTAGTTGCCTTTAAGTCTCTTTTAAAATCTTATCTTTTATGGGAAACTTTTGCTAATTCCCCCTAGTTTCACTGCCTTCTCTCTGATTATTTCTGATTTATCCTATGTTTTCGTTGTTTCTACATAGGTGTTTGTATGCTGTTTACTACCTTTGAATGTGAGATCTTTGAGAACAGAAGCAGAAACTTTCTTTGAATCACCATTGCTTAACACATACCTGTCACACTGTAGATGCTTGATTTTTATTGACTACTTTCAAAAAATCGTTACAAAATAACTTTCATATCATTGTAATCTGATCATCATCATAAGAATTTATTAATGAATAAATTAATTTAAAAATTCAATGAATGAAAACATATTACTGCTTGCCAGAGCCTGTGCTAGATGCTATGTATGTAAATAAAAAAGTGTCATAGTTCCTACCTCAAGGAGGTCTTTACTGTACAAACATGGAATTGGTGACCATAATGGTAGTTGAGGTAAATCACATGGATAGCGTGTGGAGATATAGGATAGTTGATTGTAATGCTCTTTCGAGTAGAAATATTAGTATTTCTTTGATTACTATCCCTGTGACAGGAGGTGGAAAAAAGGAAGAGGGGGAAGGAGTGGAGGCTAGGAAAACCTGTGTTATGGCCAGAGAAATGGCAAGATGCCCTGATAAACCCCATTATTGTTGAATGGAATTTGAAATATGATCTAGAATTGGTAAGATATAATGAATTAGATAAATTTGCATTAATTCACTCACTAATTAGGGCAGAATGAAAACCTCCAAAACTTAGTAGACAATCTCCTCCCAGATAGCCAGCAATTGGAAGTCATCCAGAGGATAATTTTTCCAGGTGGGTAGAACCAGGGGAGCAGAAGAACAAATAGCAAGCTACCTAGGTTGGTCCTGGGTTCATAGTATATTTTGACTGGGTAAAACCATTTTAACATTCACAAAGTACTTCCACCAACATCACTCTATGAGTTAGTATAAGTGTGTTATCTTTATTCAATAGTTATAGAAACTGAGGCCAAGAAATTTATAGCTCTAGTCATTTAACTGGTAAATGGCAGAGCTGAATCAAAATTATCTCTGGATTCCAGATCTAGTTCTCTTCTAAGTATACCAAACTGTTGATCATACATGCCTGAAAAGTTTATTCTTGTTACCTTATCTCCATTTCACAAATAGTTGAGGCTTAAAAAGATAATATTACTTATCATTGAACATGGCTAGTGAGTGGCAGAGCTAAGATTCAACCTAGTTTTTCACAATATCAATCTAAAGTATACTTTCAATTTCTCTTCTAAGCATTACACATAAGAATAAAGGCTAATCCAATGTAAATGTCAGGCAACAGTAGGACAAGGGAAAAATAAATCCTGTTTGGTTTCAGAACACTGGATTTTGTTCTTTTTTTTAACTGATTTACTTTCTTTCATGAGGTTTACCTTAACATAATATTAAACATGAGTTTAGATTCCCTTAGCATAATAGTCAAAATCAGAGTTTGCATTCTAGAATTCTTTTAATTGACATTGAGAAAGCAGTCTAGAAATTTTTTTTAAAAAGCTGCGAGTGTTTAATCTTAGAAAATTTAGGAGGTTGATGATAGGTGGGAGATTTGTTGGGGGCAAGGAGATGGGTGTTAAAGATTTTCTTCTTTAAGTTAACATGCAAATGAATAACAGCAGGACAATAGACTTTAAGAAAGGACTGAAGGATTTATCATATAAAGGACAGTCATTTGCAAAATGGGGACAATATTTATATGAACTACCTTACAAGATTGTTAAGAAACACTTTGTAATAATACACACACACACACACACATAAATTTTATACACACACTCACACTTCACAAAGTATATAATTTATAAAGCATATATAGATATTCCCATCAACACAACTTCAAAATAATGTTTCAAATTGAATTCAGAGAAGCAGAGCAAACAAAAGGTGAGGCTAACAGATTTCCAAGACAAATCAGGAGCTCAACAGGAGAGACTGAGACACCAAGATGTGGGCCAACCTAGAGTGCACACAGTGGAGGAACTTGGGGCAGCTGGAGGAGCAGCAACAGCTCTGGGAGTTCTCAACCCAGAGACAGAAAGCGCATTATGTCACCACCCTGGTACAGAGGACCCTAAGCTGGCCCTGGATTCTGTTTGGAAACTCCATTGCCCATACTCATTTCTGAGTCTCAGTTCCAAAATGAAGAAGAAAGTTTGTGGTGGATCATAAGGGAACAGGGGCCCTGGTTGAAGTTCCAGGGCCAAGAGGTTCACTAACTAGCATTTGTGGCTGCATGAGAGTAAGGGACCTGATCACAGTTCTGAGGCCAAGAGCAGCACTAGTGCTTCTTGATGCAGAGGAGTATTGGGTCTTTATTGAGTAAAGAATATAGCACAGACCAGGAGAGCAGTGACCTCAGCTCTAGAAAATCCCAGGCCTCAGAACTAGCTCTGAAAATAGCAGCAAGAAAAAACCTGAAGCTTGGGACAGTGACTTCCCACCCCAGGTGAGCAGAGACTAATTTTAACATGAAATTTAAAGTAAAGAAAGTCTGGAAAAAATGAACCAAAACATAAGAAGAACTTGAACATAAACAGCTAGTATGATGGCAGGGAAGATCAAAACACAAACTCAGAAAAAGCAACAATTTGAAAACAGCCACAAGCAAAGCAACAAAAGAAGAAAATGTGAATTGGACACAAGCGCAACATTAATTCCTGAAAGAATTAAAGAAAGAGATGAGTGAGTGAGGAAAAAACTGGGAAATAAATGAGAGTGATGTAAGAAAATCATGAAAATATAATTACCAGCTTGTTAAAAGAGGTACAATACAGAAGAAAATAACACCTAAAAAAAAAACAGAATTGGCCAAATGGTTAAAAAAAAAGGCATACAAAATCTTTGAAGAACTCCCTAAAAAGTAAAATAGCTGAATGGAAAAAGAGATACAAAATGTCACTGAAGACAAAAATTCCTTAAAAATTAGAAGAAGAAGCTAATGACTCCAAGAGACATCAAGAGACAAAAAACAAATTCAAAAGAATGAAAAAAATAGAAAAAATGTGAAATATTTCATTGGGAATAAAAGCTCATCGCAAAAGAGATTGAGGAGAGATAATTTAAGAATTATTAAGTTACCTCAAAGCCATCATCCAAACAAGACCCAACATATCACATTTTTAAAAAAATCATGAAGGAAAGCTGCCCTGATATCTTCGATACAGAGGGAAAAATAGAAATTGAAAGAATTCACAAATCACCTCCTGAAAATAAAATTCCAAAATGAAAACTATTTAGCCAATATTATATTATAATATTATTATATTAGCTAAATTCCAGTTGAAGGTGAAAATATTTCAAGCAGACAGGAAAAAAAAAACAACACCACTCAAATATGACAGAGTGACAGTCATTATCACACAAGATTTAACATCTTCCATGTTAAAGAAGTGGAAGGTTTAGAACATGATACTTTGGAAGGCAAAGAAGCCAGCCAAGAAGAACATAACCAGAAAAAGGGAGTATAATCTTCAAGGGGAAAAGTGGATATTAATGAAACAGAAGACTTGCAAGCATTCATGATGAAAAGATCAGAGCTGAAAATTTGACATTTAAACATAAGGTGCAAGAGAAGCATAAAAAGGTAAACATAAAAGAGAAATCATAAGAGAATTAATCCAGTTAAACTGTTTACATTCT